ATTCATGGCCCCCAAAACCCCAAAACCCCGTGAAGTGAGAATCTTATCTGAAAATGAGTTATTTAAATGTTTAAATATATTGGTTAGCTTGAGGTACTTAAGTGCCAGATACTCAAATTATTATAATTTATTTCTAAAAACAAATAATACTTCATAAAATATGATCATGATTAACAACCAATCATCGCCTTCTTAATCTTACTAGACTAGTTTACACTCATAGTCTACATAATATTAAAACTCTTCTATTATACCTCAATCTTCTTCTATATAGCAGGCTCTCTATAATTCTGTACCCCAGATATTCTAGGGTACCAGTCATCACTCCCACCAACTCCAATAGTAGTAGTAGGCTTTACAGAATTTCTAATTGAATACAGCCTCAAATATCAATAAAGGTGGTACTAGTAATATGGCATCTTCAAATGGAGCCAACAATTTGATTTAACTTATGAATGGAGCCAATAATCAAAGCTCCCTTGCCCTAAACTCTACTACTTCTAGCATAAATGCTAATGGTAATGTTAATGCCGCAAATAACGGAAATCTTCTTCTCTAATCCTTATTGTTGAGTACCCTGCAACAGTAGAAGTAATAGAATAATTAAAATTAGCCTTAGTCTCAAGTTATAAATTAAGGAGGGTTCTATCAATAACAAAATTTGTAGGCCTCCTCTCAGCTAAATTCAAATCTCCAAAATCAGAATATAAATGGCATGAGTATTGAAGGAGTAATTAATGGTGCTAGATATGCTTAAAACAACAATCAAAATGGCAGCAATAATAATTTGCAGCCATCTTAAGTCTTTTAAAATGGTAGTTTCTTCCCAAACAACTAGGTTCTATCTTCTAATGTCGTCCCTAATGCTAATCAATTTCATGCTAATCACAATGCAGTCCAACAGAATTTCTCAGTCAGTTCATTGATAAAATAATAGAATATGGCTGACTAATTCTAAGATGCTAATTCAATTAATGGCTTGCTTAATGCAGCTGCTAAAATGAATGCTAGTATTGTTTAGCAAAATAATTCTCAGTTTTCTTCTGCTAATATTAATGGTAATAACAATATCCAGTCCTAAATTGTTTTAAATCCTTAAATTAGTCAGCTTAATTAGACCCAAAAGCTGTAATACTAACAAATTTAGGCCCAACAAAAACCAATTTAACAGCAATAACATGAGCAAACCAATCAAAATGTTTTAAATATCCTTCAAAATATTTCCAAGGTATAGCAAGCAAATAAATAAAATCAATAATAAGCCCAAGTTAATCACTAGCAGATAAATTAATAAAGAACTCAAGTTCAAGTGTCAATATAAAATCAAAAAAATTAAAATTTAATCAATAAGAGCCAGATTCCTAGCCCTAATTCTTAAAATAGGAGAAATTAAAAGTATGAAGCGAAAAATAGTAGTCCTCAAGATATTAATAAATAAATGAATCACCTATAAGTACCTCAACAAAGATCAAACTTCAGTAATCAAGGAAATAATAGATCTTAGTTTGTTTCTCCTAAAGATGGATACATACTAGGCAAGAAAAGGCCAAGTCCTTATAATTCTTCATCAGAAGATAACTCATAGTATAAAAGGCCGAGAACACAAGAGGAGATCATGAAGCAGAAAGAACAGCAACTAATTAGACTTAGCCAAATGGCATTTTCAACATAATAGTCAGATGTATCTCGAGGAAAGATTTACATTCCAACAATGCCAAAAATAGACTTGAATAAGTCAAAGAGTCAGGTTAATGATGTCTCTCATTAAAGTTATTAATAATAGTAGCTATTTGGTAGAGATTTGTTATGAATAATAGAAATACCTATATAATGAGTATAATTTAGGGATAAATAGACTCTGTTGGTCTTTTTATGAGACTATCAGGGTCAATATCATCTATTTTATATGTTGTTGTTGTTGTTTAAATTGACTGTATATATTGATAGAATTAGCTGAATTCAAGCTAGATATATATAATCTTTTTGTTATATTGCTTGGGTATTAGCTTAGACTATCTTTCTTTGTATAGATAAATAATTTTTAAAATTTAAAATAAACTCATATATTACATCACTTCTTCAGATGAAAGTGAGAAATAAACCTTCTTAAAAGTTAGTAAAAGTCTTTATTTATTCAAGCTGATATTAAGAAGTTAACTTTATTATATCTGAATTAAAGTAGTATATATAGATTATTATAGATAAGTTTAGTTATATAAATTCACTTCAGTTAAAATTTCAAGAATACATTGCGACAATCTCCGAAAAGGAATGTCTCGGGACCTTTCTTCGATACTAAGATGCTCCACTCTAGCTTAATCTACTATTATTCACATCTATTTAACAATTTTGAGAATTATAGCTAGTTAGCCTATCTTATTACTGAGTTAAGGTATTTCTCGATTTAGTTTATGCTAAATGAGAACTTCGCTAATCCTCATTTATCATATTGTTTATGTTGAATAGAATCTTAGGTCCTTGGTAATTTTACTTCTTTACCTATTTAATTACTACCTTTTTCTCATTGTTTTAATTTACAAAAGTAAAATTCATTTAATCAAAACATTGAAAATCTTCTCCCTTCTCATTAGATAAGTCAAAATTAGATACATACTGTTCCTAATCATGTCCGGTCTAGTTAAAATTTGGGTTTCGCGCTTAATTATGCTTAGAATCAACAGAATTAAATTTCACCTTGCATTCCAAAGTTTTCAATTGAGTTGATAAGTTCTTTTATTCCAGTTGTGTTTTTGTTAATTTAATGATACCACTATTTAAGGTCTATTGTTAGTAGATATCTTAATTTTTTGTAAGTGGTACTAATTAGGTATTCATTTTGATATCTTTATTAGGTAAATGAGAATTATGATTCTGAAAAACATTTACCTTGTTGAATTAATCTTATTAAAAAGCTGACTTTGGTACTGATGTTAAGCTTGATGATCTTTAATTTTTATGATTTTTGTGATCTGCAGCAAAATTTGAGTTATCATACGAATTGAATCTATTCCGATCTTACTCTCTGAATTGAACAATTGGCTAGTTCATTTACAAATGAGGAATATCAACTCGTGAAAAGCTAATGTCACTTTCTTTTACAAGAGAAGCATTAGTGTTTTTTCTGGTTGAGCCTTAAAATTCAGAATCTAACTTGAAATTGTTGAGTGCCTTGGCTTTTATCAAGTAAGGTGACTCATATAAGGGGGTTTATGGATTGTAGTCATTGCTGGCTCCTTATTCTTTTTAAGAAAGTAGTTTCTATTTAACAGCTGCTTATTGACTCTATATTTACTTATTATTTTGAAATAGCAACTTCATTCTTTTGTGCAATACAGGCCTTATCATCATATTAATTGACATCTTAGATTGCTCAACTTATATCTTAGCATCGCTTTGATTTAATGAGGGGAGTTTATCAATAACTTTTCTTGGACTTGAATTCCAAGATATAGCTTGCTGCTTGATGTCAAAACTTTTGTAGACATTAAGATTGGGTGTTAAAGAACTTAAATTTGGGTCTGACTGATCTGTCTCCTGAGATATCTGAGCTTAGTGCCTTGTTGAAGTTCTTTAGCTTTTTTATTTTTGACGTTTTATCACAGATTTTATCGAGTTCCTATACTCAAATACACTCATTTAAATTTCTCTCTGTGAATCGTTTTATGAAAATTTACGAAGGGGTTTAGAGATTTGAAAACTTGAGGGAAGCATTTGAAAACTGCAAGCATCTTATTAAGTATAATTGATATCTTGATTATCTTGTCTACTTTGTAAGATATCCATCATGCTTTAGTATTATTGAAAGTTCATTAAATATTTGAGTATATTAAATGAGAAATGCTAATAAAAGCAAAGTTTTTTTAATTATTGATGCATTTCATTGTCATTTATAGTAATTTTACTCGCGGGGTTTTGGGGTTTTGGGGTTTTGGGGTTTTGGGG